CAATCCCAAAAGGTATGAAAATTATTTAAATATTTGAAGTTTCCATGTTTAGAAAGTGTTTTTTAAGAAAAAGAAAAATTTCCCGAGAAAAAAGATAGTTTGTGCAGAAAATTGTTTTTTGAGATAGAAGATCCTGGGAGAGGGGGTGTAGAAGCGTGGGCGGACAGCAAAAAACCTTGATTTTTGCTCCAAAAAATTAATACCAAATTTTGTTTTGCCTTTGTTTAAGGTGTAATTTAAACAAGTTTTTTTACATCTAAAAATTCCGCTTAGTGATCAAAACTTGGATTATGTTTGCAGTATTGGCTATTTGTTTACTTTTGGAGGTCAAAGTTTGAAGTACAATTATTTTTAAAGTTTGCAAACTATCCAGCTAATACTTGGCTCTTGTTTGCAGCCTTATATGCTGATTAAGGTTTAGTTTGGTCTACAATATTAGATCCTTTCAATGAAGGGAAATTAAAAATAGTATATTTGATAACTTTTGCAGCACAGTCAGTACATAGGTAGGGTGCAATACCAGGCCAAATTGGAAAAAAAATTGCCTATTGCTCCAAATTCAAAATCATATTTTTTTGCTGCCAAGGCACGGCATAGGAAACAGAATTTAACAATAAATTTTGCATTTACTGCTCTTGTATGACGCAAGAGTTCGAAAACATTCGAAGTACTGTGAAAATGTAATAAAATCGACAAGTTGACTTGCCCTTGAGATCTTGCTACTGCCTCAGCACTGAAATGTTTTTTGACAACGATTTACCAGTGTTTCTTGGATATTTTCCTTGTTTAACTCGTAAAACCGAACATACAAGTGCATCTGAAGACTAAGCGAGAGTTTGGTGTAGAAATATGTTGTTTACGGGAAGTTATTTTGCATTCGCAAGGCGTCAACAAAAGCCGGCATTTTCGCCACAGTTTGATTATCATATCAATAGATAAAAGCTTTAAAAATTCAACTGAAATACATTTTAAACCGCCCGTATTTGAATAGAATATATGCTAGTCGTATTAACATTGAACTTCTTTCTGTTTGAACCCAAATTTATACTTGTTTTGCGTTTGACAAGGCTGTAAAGCTCGCGTCCTCGCGAAGATTCAGTGGCTTTTTCATATACCGAGCATCAGATTCAGTCTTCTTGTGTGTGTGAGGATTATAATATTCTCTTGCTGTTCAAACAGATATTCTATACACTGGAAACGTAGAGTACATTTTACTTTGTCTTTGACTCAAGCAAAAAAGTATAAAGTTTAAACAGGCATTCAAAAATATACAACCGCGAGCGTCTTCCCTATATTTCTTCGGGAAAATCTTCAACTCTTCAAGTTTCAACAATGGAAATTTTGGTTAATCTGGCGCATGCTCAGACAAATTTCCCAGCTGCTAAGCATTAGCGAAGTCTAAAGTTCATCAATGAGCGCGGGCATCGGTCACCAACAATGGGTGGTCATTCTCACTGATCTCAAAAATATGGCTGACTGTCATGAATAACGGACACTGATTGGTCCAATTTAAAGTTTGCATTATAACGGCTGCATGACGCAGCGAAAAATGCGAAATAGCAAACATTTCTTGATTTGATGAGTTGATGATTGATAAATTTCTTGCAAATATTCTTTATTTTTGCTCGTATTTCTGCAAGTTTTTGTAAATTTCAAGAAAGAAAGGGCGAAAGAATCAGCTAAAAGAAGGGAGCCGACGTTAACGAAGGTAAGTTTTGTTTTAAATATTGATTTTATAATGGCTTTAAAACCAGACGACCTTTGCGTATATGAAACAACTAAACAAGACAGCATATAATTTCAGTGTGTCTTTAATATTGATTCCCTTTTTTATTATATTGAATTTTTTAAATAAAAAATAAAGCAAAGTTATTTGCAAGCGAGAATTTGAAATCATTTTATTGCAAACTCAAAGTTTATCGATAAAGCCATTTAATAGTTAAAGGCAGTTTAGTTTTATAAAGAACACTTTAAAACGTTTTGTGAATTGTTTGTGGTTGAATTTTACCTTAAATTGAAGCTTGTATTACGTATAATTACATACCTAACATAAATATGTTGGGAAATTGATAATTTTGTAATTAAAATTATAAAATAACATGTATATAACGCGTGCTCTGATTGGTCGAAAGCCGTGTTTGGATCAGGCCATCCAAACACGGAAGACTACCGTGTTGTTGTTATTTTATAAAACATTTACTTTATGGTTTCCGTGTTTGGATGGACTGATCCAAACACTTGGGAATGTTGCTCGAGTTAAGAAAAGCGGGCAAAATCACTCGCCTTCGGCTCGTGATTTCGCTCGCTTTTCTTAACTCTCGCAACATTCCCGCGTGTTTGGATCAGGCCATCCAAACACGGAAACCATAAAGTAATTGTATAGTGATATTTTTAGGCGATTTTCATTTGTAAGAATATTCTTAAAAATTTATCGTGTTACCATGACAATTACTTTAGATACTTCATGTTCGGAAAATACAACGGTTTTGTCAGCAAGGCGAGGGTTTCTGCATGCATGTATTTTCTAGTTATACGTAATACAAGCTTCAATTTAAGGTAAAATTCAACCACAAACAATTCACAAAATGTTCCAAAATGTTCTTTATAAAACTAAACTGTCTTTAGCTATTAAATGGCTTTATCAATAGACTTTGAGTTTGCAATAAAATTATTTCAAATTCTCACTTGCAAATAACTTTGCTTATTTTTTATTTAAAAAATTCAATATAATAAAAAAGGGAATCAATATTAAAGATACATTGAAATTATATGCTGTCTTGTTTAGTTGTTTCACATACGCAAAAGCCGTCGGGTTTTAAAGCCATTATAAAATCAATATTTAAAACAAACTTACCGGCCTTCGTTAACGTCGGCTCCCTTCTTTTAGCCGATTCTTTCGTCTTTCCTTTTTTGAAATTTATAAAATCTTCCAGAAAAACGAGCAAAAATGAAATATATTTGCAAGAAATTTATCAATCATATATCAAATCAAGAAATGTTTGCTATTTCGCTGTCGTCATGCAGTCGTTATAATGCAAACTTTAAATTGGACCAATCAGTGTCCGTTATTCACGACAGTCCGCCATATTTTTTAGATCAGTGAGGATGATCACCCATCGTTGGTGACCGACGCCCGCGCTCATTGATGAACTTTAGACTTCGCTAATGCTTTCGTTTCCCCGGGTGTAAATGGCCGGGGGAAATTAGTACCCTCGCACGGCGCTTCGCGCCGTTGGCTCGGGATTATTAGTTAAAAAACGGGTGTCACCGACCTTTTTAGGGAATTGTGGCATTAAAACGTGAAATACAAGTAAACTAGAAAATACATGCATGCAGAAACCCTCGCCTTGCTGACAAAACCATTGTATTTTCCGAACGTGAAGTATCTAAAGTAGTTGTCATGGTAACACGATAATTTTTTAAGAATATTCTTACAAATGAAAAATCGCCTAAAAATATCACTTTTAATTACAAAATTATTAATTTCCCAACATATAGATGTTATAGGTATGTTAGTATACGTAATATAAGCCTCAATTTAAGGTAAAATTCAACCACAAACGCTTAATAGCAAAACGTTTTAAAGTCACTAGTGTTCTTTATAAAACTAAACTGCTTTTTAAAATGGCTTTATCGATAAACTTTGAGTTTGCAATATTAATATGAATTCAAATTCTCGCTTGCAAATAACTTTGCTTTCTTTTAATTTAAAAAAGTCAATATCATAAAAAAGGGAATCAATATTAAAGATACACTGAAATTATATGCTGTCTTGTTTAGTTGTTTCATAATACATATACGCAAAGGCCGTCGGGTTTTAATTAAAGCCATTTATATAAAATCAATAGGTCATCAATATTTAAAACAAACTTACCTTCGTTAACTTCGGCTCCCTTCTTTTAGCCGATTCTTTCGCCCTTTCTTTCTTGAAATTTACAAAATCTTGCAAAAATGCGAGCAAAAATGAATTGAAATACATTTGCAAGAAATTTATCAATCATCAAATCAAGAAATGTTTGCTATCTCGCTGTCGTCATGCAGTCGTTATAATGCAAACTTTAAATTGGACCAATCAATGTCCGCGCTATTCATGACAGTCCGCCATATTTTTGAGATCAGTGAGGATGACCACCCATCGTTGGTGACCGACGCCCGCGATAATTGATGAACTTTAGACATTGAACATTGAACATTCAACATTTATTTAAACACGGTAAAATCTTCAGTGTAGAATAAAATACAAAAACTATTAATAAATTTCACACATCACTATATACACACTAATTTCCTAACTAAAATGCACTGTTTTCCAAGATTGCCGTGTGGGGATCCATTATAATGTCAAGAATTGATTAATTTCATTTTTGAAATGCCTCAATGATTTAGACGTACGTGCAGTTTGAGGAAGCGCATTCCATAAACTTGCTCCACTGTAGCAGAAACTACGCTTCATAAAGTCCGTACGTGGTTTTGGTAAATTTAGCTTCATTTCTGCATTTCTTAAGTTATAATCTGTGCTGCGAAATGTAAACATGTTTTGTAAATACTCTGGCGTTAGCTTATTGATAGTTTTAAACATTAGTATAGACTTGTGCTTTTTCCTACGTAAGGAAAGATTGTCCCAATGCAGTTTCTCTAAGAGAATGCTAGAGCTGACATCGTAGTTGGATTTCGTAATCACTCTAGCAGCTCTATTCTGCAATTTTTGCATTTTTTCACATAATGTTGCGCCAAATTCGTCCCAAATGGGACTACAGTAATCAAAGTGAGGTTGAATTATAGCGTTGTAAATTTGGATTGCTGTTTCAGTTGATATAAATGGTTTTATTCGCTTAAGAGCACCTATAGCGGAAAAATCTTTTTACACTTCATATCAATGTGTTTAGACCAAGACAGATTTTTATCAATAATTACACCTAGTGATTTTGCCTCATCAACTTGTTTAATCACATGACCATCCAGGTCAATATTGATATTTTCGTTAGTGTGCGCATGCATACGTTGTCGAGATCCTATTATCATAAATTCTGTCTTAGCGATATTAAGGCTTAATTTGTTCGCTTCCAACCAGCTTTTCAATTTTTTTAATTCCGAATTAATAACATTTTCTAGTTCGGCGATAGTGTTGGCCGCATAACTAATGTTCGTATCATCAGCAAACATTCTCGGTACTGCTGCACTGAGACAATTAGGAAGGTCGTTAATATACATCAAGGAAGAGTAATGGTCCTAAGTTACTTCCCTGTGGTACACCACGTGTAACTGATGCAGATGATGACAAGCAACCTCTAACATTACATTTCTGAGATCGACCGGTCAAATAAGACTGAAACCATTCGAGACTTAATTGATCCATACCGTAAATCCGAAGCTTCCGCAGTAATATCTGATGATCAATAGTATCGAATGCTTTTTTAAGGTCGATAAATATTACTCCATTGAAGAGGCCATTGTCAATATTAACTGACCAGTTAGTAGTGGCTTCAAGAAGAGCAGTAAGTGTACTATGTAACGACCTGAAACCGGACTGGCAATGCGTTAACAAGCTGTTAGAACTGAAGTAATTATAAAGTTGCTCAAAGATTAATTTTTCGAAGATTTTGGCTACAGCTGAAATAGCTGATATTGGTCGATAGTTATTCGGATCATTCCTTTTTCCTTTCTTAAATATTGGTGTTACTCTAGCCATTTTCCACTCGGATGGAAATATGCCAATGTTAATTGATCTGGCAAATATATCAGTTAATGATGGTGAGATTATTGCAGCTGCTATTTTTAACAGCTTATTAGGAATGTTGTCGAGACCTGGAGCTTTTCGTTCGTTAATTTTACTCAACAGAATATAAACCATATCAACCGTAGGAGGTCTAATGGAAAATCTCTGCTCAGTTGATTCTAAATAGTCTTCAGGGTTGACGTTAGAAATGGGTATCTCTGAGGCTAGATTCTCACCAATATTTGAGAAGTGATTGTTAAAAGCTTCAGCTATATTTGCCGGTGTATTTATTGTTTTTCCGTCTACTTTAATCTCGTCTTTTAGACTTGGCTAACGCTTTCATTTCCCCGGGTCTAAATAGCCTGGGGGAATTAGTACCCTCGCACGGCGCTTCACGAGTACGACTACGAGTACGAGATTCGTCAAGCTAAACGCATGCTGTATGCTTACGCCATCCCGTACTGACGCTAAAAAGTCGTAGCCGTCGCCCATCTGAGTACGAAATTGTGGAGAAACCTCGTAGTCCTCACGACGACTTTTCAAAAAAAAACAGAGAAAGTTGGCTTTTTTTCTTTCCAAAAATAATTTGTAGCATTTATATAGCGTTTATCCGGCGCAAATAATATATTAGTACTAAATATCTGGCCTATTTTTAATGTTATGACTTATTTACACGTTTTGTAGGGGATTTTGGTCTACAGGAGATTTAGTTTATGAAACTTTTTCTCTAGTTGTTGATTTACTGTTATAAAAGCAACATTTGAATGGAAACGAAAACGGCTACGGTAATTTCCTCGCACGCGATCAAATCTCGTACTCGTAGTCGTACTCGTAGTCAAATCTAAAGCCTAGCTACACTTTTGTATGCCTTTTTTGAAAACATTGATTTTAACGTAATTCTTTGCCACGAATGTAACCAAAGATGTTTTGAAGTAACATAAAATTGTCATAAAATGATATTTTGTTTTAAACGGGACGTATAATTGATGGAATTATAAGCTATAAGATGTGCGCAGTAAAAGTGCGCAATGCAAAACTGCAGAATTACCTTAACAGGAATTTCTTAACTCTGTTACGTCTCCGATCAACACCAATAAACCCGTCAGCAGAGTCACTAGATGGATCATTGATTGTTTGCTGAGAATTGTTTTAGGATTTATTGGTAGGAGATTTTTCAAGTGCGTTGAAGTATTAAATACAGGGCTAGATGTCACTACCTCCGCAAAAGTGGTTTGATTGTTGTTTCTTACTTGTTTATTATCGTATTTAATAGAGGTTGAAACTTCTGCTGACACAATGGGATTATTAACATTATGGTTATGCTTTAGATTGTCATTATCACTTTCAATGAGGTTTAATGGGTTTACCAGGATAATAGGGTCCTCGTTTATCTTGCACTTACCCCCATTGTTCACCTTGATTGGAATAATCCCATTGTTCGTAGTATACAATTTATCAATCGTTAGGATATTTTGACTTTATTACCAATGGGTTCTGCATCACAAGAAGCTATTGTGATATTAGGCAATAAGCCGTTTTCCCAATCGTTTAGAGCAATACTTTCTAATTGTTCTGTATTGATAGACTTAATATTATCTTTGGCGTCATTAGCATCACGATCATGCATTCATTTACATGTCCAGCATGTAGATTTTTGTATTTGGCAGATCGGTCATATTTTCATAACTTAAACGTTTGAGTGACGAGTATGTCCGACGACCTCCGAAAGGTATCATGGGCGGCCGTTACCACCAAAAATAGTAAAGTCGCTAAATGGCATAGCAAAATGTGAAATATATCGACAAAATGTAATTGATTTAACCAAATTAAAAGCAATTGATCTCTTACACTGAAATGACATATATAAAACATCAATGGTTCGACATTTCACGACACTAAAATCAAGCATTTCACACGAACAAATATTTATCAATTATTGGACGAGGTTGAGCAAAATATCGTGATTTGTCGGTGGCGAGCAGATCAATTATTGGGCGATGCCAAAGGCAGAGGCAAATAATTAATCTGCGAGCCACCGACAAATCACGATATTTTGCGAGAACCGAGTTCAATAATTGTTTTATCATTCACTTATAAAGCAGACGGATTTTGATATTTAATACTGGGGTGGTGCCAGAAATTTTAGGAGGGTGAGCCGTGAGCAGGTGACTGAAGCAACACAAAGTGTCACCAAACCCCAGTAAGATTTATATTCTAGGGGTGGAGCACTAGGATCACGAGGGGAGTTGAAGAGAAAACAAAGTGTCTCAGGAAAAATTTGAAAAAAAATAATCATGATTTCTAGCTTCGAAAGAAAGTTTTTTGAAGTTGTCAATTTGTCATATCAATGGATTTGGCATGTCCGATTGTCTGTAGACGTGAGGGAGTCAAAGACTTAAAGTTAAATGAACCTGTAAAAGTGTAAACCCAATAGGCCAATACACAATATGCTTTTACTTTTATAAAGTCATTACCATTGTATTGTTTGAATCCGAGTAGAATTTATGATGTAACTCCGATGTAAATAATATTTGGGGCGTAAAGATTAAATCTAGGCAAGTCTATTTCCTAAAAGAATTAAAAACAAAAATAGTGTTCGTGAAAATTCCAAACGTTCCTTGCGTGCAAGCTATTCGCATGACAAGGCACTGCAAACTCTGTTCAGGGAAGATAATTCAAAACTTTACAATTGCTCCAATAAACCAGTGAATGCAAGCGAGGAGAGATTAGTTTCAGAGTGTTGCACTGTCTTTTTCTGTTCGAGTGTACTCCTATACCTTTATTTTGTATCATCAACCCTCTGCACGTTGGAGTGGTCTATTTAATTATTTATTTATTATGCTGCCGAATATTGGGGGGGGGACATTTTGTTTGGGGGGTAATAGCTAATATTGGGGGGTGGCACCCCCCTGAACCCCCCAGAAAATCCGTCTGTGTTATAAAGCTTCATTTTATCTTTCGCTTAATATAAGCTCGCCGTCTCTCTTTCTTGCTTCTGCATAAAACTTGCGAAGGACGTTGGCAAGAGTTTATTTTGAGCCAACTATGGATCGTCTTCGTTGATTTATCTTGCTTCTAAATGCTGGCGAAAAACATTGACAGTGGTTTTAGTCGCTTTTTCTATTTTCCTCGTTTTTTTCTTCAAGTAAGCAAGACAACTCATTTTCCGAAAGTTCAGCAAAGCGAGCCGCCATTGTTTACAAAAATTGAAGGCAATGGGCACGCTCAGACTATTATTTGTAGCTGAGCAACGTTTTTGACAAATGCGCATGCTCAGACTATTATTTGCACACAGTTATTTGCAGGTAAATTAACCAATCAAAATTGAAAATACTATAAAGTGAATGATAATGACCATTCACGGCTCACGAAAATACCCTTTCCCACCCTCATACCATTTAGTGGACATATTAAAATGGTTACTATAAATTTGGGAGAAATATGAAATGAATACTATAATCGAATAACCATTCTTAGAAATTTCCTCGTACGAACAACAATAAAATTTCAGAAATTTAAATGTATTGTAATTTATATGCACAGCACTACCTTTGATGTGTTGATGGCCTGCGAGAGTTTCACCGTCTAATAACACAATTTAAAAGGTATATTCGATTATAGTATTTATTTATATTTCTCGCAAATTTACAGTAACCATTTATCTGCTACAAGACAAGAGCTATATATCTATACAGGATACAGCTATTTACATGAAAGGCCGCATTTGATATGCGCATGAGTTTCCTCGTCAATAGTGGCACAACGTCCCACATGGCTGAGTGTATTCCTAAGATTGAACGCTGTTCATCTATTTATCAGTTCAAAACAATTAACAAATAATCCCCGAGCCGACGGCGCTTCGGCGAGGGTACTAATTCCCCCCGGCTATTTACACCCGGGGAAACGAAAGCATTAGCGAAGTCTAAAGTTCATCAATGATCGCGGGCGCTCACCAACGGTGTTGAGTGGGTGGTCATCACTGATCTCAAAATATGGCTGTTTGCCAGGAGTGAAGAAGGAAAAAAATATAAAAAAATACATGTAAGAAAGCTTGGAAAATCGTTTCACATAACAAATTGTACAACTTTTTTGCAATTTTTAAACGTAAACATTGATAAGAATTGATATTGTATGATAAATCCTAAAGTATAGGGCAAGTTTGTTTCAATTGTTTATGTATGACTTTGTATTTAATAATATAGACTTTGTTCTTGATGTTCAAGTCTTTCCTATGCATTGTTTGCGAAAATTTCTTAGTTAAATTAGCTTTTGTAGAAATTCATGATAAAAAGGAAAGCAAATTATTTTCATTAGCGTCCTGTACGAATTAAATTTGTTTCATTTCAAAGTGCGAATAATAAGTTGAAGCTCGAGTTGAGAAGTTTATAAATATCGGCAAAAAGCAGTTAATTTCAATTCACATTTAAAAACGTTTTACGTAGAGTTCCGTTTTGAATTTTACA